CATAGTGCTAGCACGATAAGGCGCCTGGGTATGAGTCTTATATGTAACTCCACAGGGAAAATGGACTACAGGAGGTCCCGTAAACTAGGAAGGGTGATAATAGGAATTTTATCAGTGGAGCCGATGAGCAAGGCAATTAACGGAGTCTGTGGAACGCGTTTAGAATGTTGGTATACATTTATTTCATTTCTTTAATGGAGTGCTAAAAGAGACGAGCCTTGTGAAATATGCAAAGTTGAGGTGTGTAAACAAGTGGGAACAAGGGGTTGGGAGACACTCCCTTGCTAAGCCACCAGTTTGTTCTTTGGCGATAACATTAGCGTGAATTCCTTTTTCTTGAGGGCGCAGTGACCAATATTCTTCATTTTGGGGAGAAATTTGATCTCAGAGCCAGTAGTATTAAGCGAGCACCATTCGAGCATTTTCGATGGCTTTTGGATTTTCTTTTTATTAATTTCTGCATTGCATTTATGAAAATGTAACTTAATGCACTTTAGGTCAGCCTTTTAACTCCCACGCCAATTCTGCTTATTATCAGCGCTTGGCAACGTTCCTTGACCCTTCATGCTATCCCTTCCCCCCTATTAGGGTGTTTATTATTGATCCGTCCACTGGAGACTGGCGTGTCCTAGCCGAAGGCCTTTACTTCGCCAACGGTGTCCAACTTCACAAAGACCAAAAGTATGTGCTTGTCTCCGAGACCGGCATGGCACGCGTACTTCGTATCTCTCTCACCAATGGCACTGAACGTACAGTCTTCGCGGACAGTCTGCCCGGCTTGCCAGACAATGTGAACCGATCGCCTCGGGGCGGTTACTGGGTCTCCCTAGCAATTCCGCGTTACCAGGGTTCGCCGAGCTTAATGGATATACTGGCGAACTGGCCCGCAGTGCGCAGATTCTTGTACACGGTAAGGTTTGAAAGTTTAATCCGAAGTTTGCGATCAGTTGTTTATCATCTCGACGTGCGCCAGCATTTGCCCCGTCTTCGGTTTCTGCTTCTTCTTAAGGCGTTAACATTGTTTTCTGATTTGTACCTTTTTCAATTCTAATGGCATGTGGCCTGGGTGCTTTAAGTGTTGCCACTCAAAAATCTAACGGTTATAATAAGTTACTGGATTATATTTCCAGTAACCCGTTTGATTTATCGGGGCGGTAAATTCGGGCTAATCAACCCTTCTGTAGAGATTGAAATCACCTGACCTCTCCTGTGCAACTGAATGGTGGTCTACGGTAGATTTGTTATCTCGTGGAAAGTTTATCAAAATTCTCAAATATATTTTAGTTTCAAACTATTACTTAACTATGATTGCGATATTAATTAGCGGACAAAACCCGAACAGAGGTTTACGATATTTAAAGCACGTCTACGAAATTCCTTCCGGCCGTTTGTTAAAAGTGTTTACTTAATTAATACGGTATTTATCATAGATTTTCGTTGTCCTTATATATTCAAATATGTTATAGAATATATTAATTCAAATCTTCCTTCTTTTATTCAGTTGCTAGTATATTCTATCTGGTTCAACTGTTTTTTACTTGAAAAGCGGGCATCTTTCTGGTTTAAAACAGCCTCCTACTTATGCGATTTTTAAGACCTGAAACGCCCATTCATTAAGCATCTTATATCTGCGTATCTTGGTGCTACTTATGGCTTATCCAGTGTGATCTACTTTCCTTGCCCATTTTATGCGGCTCTTCCTAATAGCATGGAGAAATTCGTGCATTTCCTTATACAGTAGTCGCCGGCTATTAAGCCCACCTCGGGACCAGACCAAATTGGGC